AGGACTACCCAACCGGTCGTAAGTCGAGGACTTTCCCTGCCCGGGAGCGCTGCGCATGCGTGGTTCCGCCCCCTGCGCCGGCCGAGGCGTAGCTGGCAAGCGGCAGAGACGGAGCAGGCCGACCACCAGCTGGCCCAGCCCAAGGGAGGTAAGGCACCCGCTGGAAAAGGGGAAAAAAATGGCGGACAAAAAAAATGGCAGACAAAAAAATGGCGGACAGCCTTGCTTGGCGACCCCCGTGAAATGGTCGATCGACCCCAAATGGGGTACCGACCCACAGGTTGAGAACCACTGCGTTAAATGTTCTCACTGCCAAGATGAATTTGCTAAGGAGATGTGATCTAAATTAGAAAAGACATCCCCTCTTTATCTGGACTTTGATGTTCCTCTCTGCTCAATCCTTTTAGCTGGGATTGCTGGGGATTAAAAACCAGAAGGCTTTGCACCAGAATAGGCCAGTGTCTGCTGTTCTATTTATCTTTTCAATACGGTTCATGTTTGAAGCCAGAACGCTAATTTTTATCTAGAAGAAATACACTTTGGTTGCAAAAAACAGCACTTTGCTCCCCCAATCAGAAATGAGGGAAGCATAAGGAAATTCTTGGTTACGAGCATTATACAAAGGGAAAGTTTTTTTTTTTTTTTACAAGCACTGCTATTTAAAAAGCCAGCATGTGCTCCATCCAGATCTAGAGGAAAAATTCTCTTGGGCCAGATGTTTTTAGTGCCCTTCAGCTCTGGCCAGGAATCCACCTTCTTCTTGGCACTTTTAAGTAATATAACTTATTTACATGCCTTCTCTTTAGGTCCAGTCAACACCGCCTAAAGCGGGCTCCTTGTCCACAGTTTGCTATAGACCTACGTCATACATGCTTACGGAGAAACCACCAATGGTTGCGTTCATATAATTGTGAAGACAACCCAACCCAATCATGGATAGACCAAAGCAATGGGTGAGAACTGTAAATCAGGGCTTTCCAACCCTGGCAGCTTTATGACTTGTAGATGACCACTCCCAGAATTCTCAACACTGGCTAGGGAATTCTGGGAGTTGAAGTCCACAAATCTTAAAAGTTGTCACAGTTGGACACTTCTACTCTAAATATTCACCTTTTAGCTCCTATCCCATAGATAACTGACTCTGATGTAGGAAACTGTTAATTTCTCACAACAAAATCCAGAAGAAGAAGAAGAAAGAAGAATAAAGTTGAAAGGGACCTTGGAGGTCATCTAGTCCAACCCCCTGCTCAGGCAGGTAACCCTATACCATTTCAGACAAATGGCTGTCCAGTCTCTTCTTAAAAACCTCCAGTGTTGGAGTATTCACCGCTTCTGGAGGCAGGTTGTTCCACTGGTTAATTGTTCTAACAGTCAGGAAGTTTCTCCTTAGTTCTAGGTTGCTTCTCTTGCTTTGTATGACTTGGTTGGCTTTTAGATTAACAAAAGAGTTAATCTTCAAGACCCTATAAGTACATTCTCCTACTATATTAAATTGGGGCTATCTAGGATTAGATTTTGATTGACTTAACACATTGCACAAATTCAGCGATTTTCACTAATTAGTGAAACTGATATACCCAGCCAGCATCCGCCCTTTTGCAAAGAAAAGATATTATGGGGGGGGGGGGAAGATGAAAGCTGTCCGGAGAAGCTTTGAATATGGGACAGAGGGGTAGCATCATCCCTATGCTGGGAAACTCTACTTAGCACCATCATCAATGCATGTGCCCACTAGCATCTACGGTCTTGCAAAGCACGAATCCAGTGAACTGCTCTTACCATCTCCAAGTCTCCATCAGCAACTGCTCTTAGAAGCTTGTCCACCTACAGAACAAATAACACCAGAAAGAGAAATCATTTTACCTGACTTGGCATCTATTACAGAATTGATATACAGTATTGCAAAGTGGGCAGCACAGACAGAAAGGCCACGAAGATGTTAAATGGTCGCTGAAGCTGAAGGTTTGGTTTGACATAAAAAGACCCTAAAATTTAGACACCAGGATAGAAAGTCAGTTTGGTCTACTGATTAAGATACCAGGCTAGAAAGTGGGAGACTATGAGTTCAAGCCCCACCTTAGCCATGAAAGCCAGCTGGGTGATCTTGAGCTGGTAACTCTACAACTTCAGAAGGTTGTTGTGGGGAAAAATAGGAGGAAGGTGTATCAGATATGTTATTTGTAAAAATAATAAAAGCAGGATAGGAAGGGAAGGGAAGGGAAGGGAAGGGAAGGGAAGGGAAGGAAGGAAGGAAGGAAGGAAGGAAGGAAGGAAGGAAGGAAGGAAGGAAGGAAGGAAGGAAGGAAGGAAGGAAGGAAGGAAGGAAGGAAGGAAGGAAAGGTCTTACAAATGTATTTCACTGTTACAGATCTAGTTGCTTGCTAAGTGCAAGAACCATGCATTAAATATCTTGTAAGCAGGCTTCTTAGTAGAACCCCCTTCATTCTGAAATACCCTCTCTTCTAAAATTTGTGAGATGCTTAAAAATTTTGAGTTTCTAGGCTCCGGTGAAAGATCAGCCTCTTCCCCCACCCCTTCCCTGTATAAATCTATGCAATCATCTCCTCTGTCTTCTATATTTCATCATCTATATTCATCTACTTCAATATTCCTTCTGAAATCTGAAGTTTAGCAGCACATAAGGGGAATGGATGCATCTTCGGTCCCCCGAATCGGCCAATCAAATGGATGGAGCCTGATGTTATTTAAGAAAGAGGGACAAAACAGGAGTTATATTAGAACTTGGACTGCCCTGCCAAATGCTTACCAGATCATCAGCTTACCTCTTTATAATTAGATTTGGCTTCTTCTGGTGTCACTGTTGTCACTAGTATTATGGAAGAAAAACTGGAGGTGGATGATACTTGGCTGATGGTGTCTTCACAACACGAAGATCGGACTGGTGACTAGTGGACATCCCATAAAGAAAGCAAAAGGAAAAAGAAAGCCTTTATTTAACAGCTGATCAGCAGGATAGCTGTAAACAAAGAGAGTTAGGACCCACACATTTGAATTACCTGAGAAGCATGTTGTCCTTTTTCAAAAGTGAGGTAGTTCAGTTCCATTAAGGATACAATCTGCAGAGAGATTAAAAGCCAGTGAGCAAGCAAGTGCAGATCCCAAGAAATTACCCACCTGGATATCAAATATACTACCAGCAAATAAATTAACTGAGTTCACAGATAGTGCTAAATTATAATAGTCTGCTTTCTTGTGGCTTGTAAACCATTTTTTTTTTTACTCAAATGTTTTCTGCAAAGACAGCCAACTGTGGGTGATTCAGGGAACACCAGTTAAAGAAAAATGGCCTAGCCATAATATACAGAAACTTAAGAGAAGTTAGTCAAATGCATTTTAAAGTCATATAGGTTTTTTTTTGTAGCTTCACAAAATAAATCTAGCCAAAGTGAAAAAAATAATTAAGCCAAACAGAGTAGTAATAAACTTGAACTGGTTAGGTTTTTAAGATGTCACAAGACTGCTTGTTTTTATTAATTTGTATTGAAGATGCCAAAAAAACAAAGAGGAAAGTTTTGGGAACTTTTACTATGCATAAAAGCAAATCTAAGAGCGCACAGACAGAGATTCTACATTTCTCTCGCAGCTCTTCTGTGTGTATGAGTATGCATAAAACACAACTGTGACCTTTCTCCAACATTATAAATCAGAAGCTATTTTTAAAAGGCTGTGCAAAGCTGTGAAGCATCTACAAGAAATCAACCAAGCTTAGAGAGCACCAAGGACCCCACAGAAATAGT